AGTAGGTGTCTGATACAGGATCTCCTGCCTCAGCTACAAAGACACCATACTCTTTGTATGACATATGGATGTGCCTTCCATGGGTCTAATGTGCCAGAGGTTTTACTGTCTCAAATAACATTTTATATGTTTTTCTAAAATTGTTTTCCAGAAGCATTCAGGCTTGTGACATCTTTACATTTCAAAAATACCTTTGCACTTGTTAATAAATCTCCAGGGTACATTTGAAGGTGTAATTTAGATGATAAATGGTGTTCTTTCTATTACTTATTCAAGTTTAAGAATGAATTCTTCTAAGTAATAAACTTCTTCCACCTAAAACAGACTGAATGGATTGAAAGTTGCCCACACATTTTTTTCTTGGAAAATTGTATTTGTCTATTTGTCGCTCCACCCACTCTACATTCACATTTAAGAGGTGCTAAATAAGTCACACATTTGAAAATGTCATGCATGTCTAATTTTATGCATGGCAATATATATATATATATAATTTTTACTTTAAGGAAAATAAACAATATGCCACTTTTCAAAAATTTTGCCAAGCCTTCTGTTATTGTTATACAGCACATATAATCTTCCATGACAGCAATTTACCTATACAATTTCATAATAAAACCATATGCTTTTCATTTCTATGGTATATATAGGATGGTTAGCTACAAATAAAGGCATTTGATCTTATATAAATATAGTTAATGCCAGAGGGAAAATTCTGAATCATATCTTTTTCTCTGCCACAGAATCAACAAAATTATGGGAAATTGAATATGTGTATTTGAGAATCATAAGAATGATATATAACTATTACTGAGAGATCCAAGTTAAAAACTGAAATTTAAATGAAGGTCATTATCAAAAAACATTGCAATATTTACAAAGATAAGCTCATTTTAGTGAAACACTTTTAACACATCCCTAACTGTGTAGTGTTGACTTGTCAACACAGGCATCTGATAATCTTAACTTCCTCTTAGCCCTGTCTATTAGAAAGCATTGTTTCTCTATCAATATTAATTCCCCTTTGTGTGCTGATGGCTCCTCTGTTAGTTTTTTTTTTTTTAAAGATTTATTTTTATTTATTTATACAAGCACTGGGTACAATCAGAAGTGCGGGAGGGTGAGAGAATTCACCAGAGCCAGAGCCGAGAGTAGAACAGACAGAGTGACGAAATACACTGCTGAGGGGAGCAGCGGGCGCAGCAGTCTGCGTGCCATGTGGTACTCTCGCCTGGCGGCCGGGGATCAAACCAGTGCTGCAGAGGCTGCGGGCAGCTTCGCCACCCAGCGCTCAACTGTTGCGCCACCAGGGAGGCCCTGTTAGTTTTTTAAGTAACCCTTTCATATCACAATTTAAAATTTTTTTTTAATTTTATATATTTTTTACATCATTTTTCATTTTTGCACAATATATGCATTTTCATCCTGGTTATAGTCCCCATATAATTCCCACAACCTTTGTTTTGATCCTACTCCCTTCTCACCCCCACGCTCCCCATAGTGTGTCTCTGGTTTATAGTTGCTTATTGATTTTGATTTTTACTTTATTATAATTAGTCTTTTTCCTGGTCCATTATTTAGGTTTTCTAAAGTCCTGCTTTGAGTGAGTCCATCCAGTATTTCTCTTTTTCTTTCTGGCTTATTTCACTGAACATGATCTCTTCCAGCTCCATCCATGTTGCTGCAAATTGTATGAGCTTATCTTTTTTGATTGCTGAGTAATATTCCATTGTGTTTGTGTGTGTGTGTGTGTGTGTGTGTGTGTGTGTGTGTATACCATGTCTTCTTGATCCAGTCTTCTATTTTGGGGCATTTGGGTTGTTTCCATAGCTTACCTATTGTAAATAGTGCTGCTATATACATAGGGGTGCAGGAGCCCTTTTGAATTAATGTTTCTGTGTCTTTTGTCATACCACAATTTTTAATTAAAGTTTATTACAATTGACAGTGTTTGAAATACAGCCTTCTCCTACTTTCTTTCATGTATTCGAGAACTATTGTCAAACAAATCAGAAGTGCTGCTTCTCTCCCTATTCCCCTCCCTAATGCCCACCTCCCCCAGGGAATGGCAACCCTGCCCAGGATAGCTACACAGCGGTCATCCTTAATATTTTTTTCTTTCCTTCTCCCTGTTAATAGTACACAACAAGTCCTGGCTGTTCCACTTGCAGGAAACTCAATCTTTTACTTCCATCCATCTTCAACTCCCCCGTACCAGGGTCATCATCTTTCTCACTAGGCTAATATAACAACCTGCAGAAGAGTCCTTTTGCTCCCACACTTCACCCCATTCTGGTCCCCACCACTCCCACCAGCAGAGAATGTGACCTTTTAAATACACACATTGGATCACAACAGACTTCTGCTTACACATTCAGCTTCTACTCTCCTCCCTGAACCCAGAGAGGCTAAGTCTATTGCAGCCTTGCTTGTTCTACTCATGTATCCTCTGCCTGAAACATGAAGATGCGTCAGTTTTCTCTGCTCCTCTCACTCTTCGGTTATTTCTTAATGGCACTTAACACAATTTGATTTAAAAATTTAGTTAATTTTATTTTTTCAGAAGGATTTAAAAGGTTTTTAGTAAACAGAGAATACAGAGTGTTTCTTATACCCCTTTTCTCCCTGCCTTCCTAAATAGCTTCCCTTGTGAATAACATCTTGCATTAGTGTGATGCATGTGTTATGATTGATGAACCAATGTTGATATACTATGATTAACTGACATCCATAGTCTAGATTAGGGTTCACTCTTTGTGTTTCTCTTCTATGGTTTTGACACATATACAATTTATTCATTAATTTATAAATCATCATTTATTCACCATAACAGTACCATACAGAATAGTTTTACTGCCCTAAAATATACTATGCTGCCCCTATTCATCTTCTCCTCCCAACCTCTGGCAAACACTGATCTTAAAGTCTCTTTGGTTTTGCCTTTTTTAGAATGTCATATTTGGAATCATATAACATGCCCATTATTTGAGTTTCTAAATATTAACTTAATTATTGTCTGTGTCCCTCCTAGAGTATAGACCTCACTCACAAGAACAGGATCTCGTCTTGCTCTCCCTTTTGTCCACAGTTCAACCATAAGCCCTCACTGGATGCTCTGTAGAATTTGTGGATTGAATGAATGATACGCCTTCTAACAACCCAGTAGACAGCAATCACCTCTACTTTTGAACCATTCCTTTCTTGATTTGTTCTAGGAACTCTGGAGCAGACTTATCTAGGTTTCTGAATTTCACTTAGGTGTTTTTATAGGTATTGGGAGAGGAGAAGCTGTCCTTGGCCCCAAATGTTTGAGGGTGTATCTATAATGGTCCTTTTCCCGTAGGAGACCAATAACCATATTAGGATTTATCCAGCCATGTGGGATACAGGGCAACTCCCTGAGGTAAAAATGCAGGCTCTGGAATATCTCCTACATGTTAATAACAAGCTCTGCTCCTCCTTGCTCTGCCTTTGGCTACTCAAAGTCTGCTCAGGACTTTGCTTTCACACATCCCTCTTTAATCCTTGCCTTTGCTCTTCTCAATATTACTCATTTACCCCCTAAACCATCTCCATTTTTATTCACCTGTGGAACAGACACACATACCAATTGTGACTGAGGAGAGAGCACACTTGAGGTTACCTGTATTAAGGAAAAGAACCACACATTTTAAAGTGTTCTTAACCATAGAAAAGAACCACATCCTCTAAAACACTATGAAATAGTAATCTCAGCCACAATTTCCACAAAACCTTCAACTTTCTCCCACTGAACTCTTTTCCTTTAATTTCTACCATTTAATAAATAGAAGTCCATTTTCTTACTCATTTCTTAAATTATACTTTTGTTTATAGTATCAAAGTTCTTATGGAGCTGCTTCTGCATTCATTGTGATGGAGATTTGAGGGTGTTCTCGCCATTTCTGATATTTTAGGCTGTAGGGAAATATGTCCATTATCACCCTAGTCAAGGCTTAATTGTTTTATATCCTTATAGTTTAGACTCACTCTGCCTTTGTCTTTCAGAACTGAGCCCTAATCTTTCTAAGACAAACCCCATCCCAGCAGGAGGAGCACAAGGGGATAAAATCCAGTGAGAAACCCTGCAGAATTGGGGAAAGAATAAGTCTGATGTCTTTTTTGGTTATTTAAACACTAGGGAAGGAATGTGTCTTAAATGTGCAATATTGAAATAACATAGTACACAGGAAAAAAGATATTCAAACTCATTGGTAAATTTCAAATATTTTAAGTTGCATTACAGAAATTTCCAAATAATAGAAAGTCTTAGTCTATTTGGAGGGTAAATGTTAACTCATTCAATACCAATTAGCATTGCCTAGGTTAGTTGGTTTAGGCTTATTTGGGGTTCTATTTTATATTAAAATATGCTTTTACAGATACACATTTATAATTTAGTAATTTACAGTGTATACTTGTTATATTATTCATGCACCTAAAAAATTAGTTGGCAGTGGGTTGCTTAGTCTTTGAGATTATGATCATCTCCTTTCATGCCTGGAATTTCACAGAATCCTTTCAAGGGCCATTAAAATTGAAGCTAAGAACTACTCTTTAAGGAGTAAGCTAACCTCTAAGACATAGTTCTTTTAAAATTTTTTCCTGAGTTCCACAAAGACAACAAAGAAGAAGAAATAAAGTCAGTCCAAAGTGTGCCCAGGACACTGTGCTAACCCAGAGGGCTTCAGTGAGTGACCTTGGGGAGTCACCTTCTAAAGCTTCAGTCTTAGGGTTGATCAAGTTACTAAAAGCCTCGGTTACTAAAAGCCTGCCTTATTCTGCAGGTCAGAAACCATAGTTCCATAGATTTCCCTTTAACTCTCACTCTGCTGTCAGACATGAACTATTCCTATTCTAACAGGATCATAACCTTGCTTTCTGCTCCGGGTCTTTTGAACATTCTTTTGAATGGGAACGTAGCCAAAAACACTAAGCAGTGGGATCAGCAAAGGATTAAATATATAAAGAAGCAAACTTACCATTAAACACGTTACTATAATAACAAAGATGCTGAGAAAAATGACAACAGCATAAAATCCTTCTTTGCTCCAGATTTTGTCCGCTTCATGCTGTCCTTGTAAAACATTTTTCTTTAAAAGCAAAACAGAAAGTCCGATGTTAAATGAGAGCTTGAGGAGACTGGCGTTCTTATCAGACACTAAACATATTTTTAGCTTTATTCCATTCTGTGTAGTGGAACACACCTACATCCCCTGCTGCCAGAGCTGCTTCTCAAACTGATCTAAGGCAGCGGACTGCCGTCCTCAGACATTAGGAGATTATTTTATCTCCCACACAGGAGCAAGCCTGCTCAGCCTGGCATCGTGGGTCCCAGATTTCCTGACTGTCCCTCATAGTCGCTCCTGGAAACTACCTGGTTCATAGGTAAGAGAGTTCTGTTTCTTTCTGTGTTGAGGAAATTGTTTCAGAAGCTTTCTTCCTCGGTTTTAATCCCCTCCCACAACACCAACACCCTGGTTTCCGTGCTGTAATTTTACTCTTAACTTTTAAAGAAAAGTGAAACAGGTGCAAACAAAATCTCACAATTCATTACTGAACAGAGTGACAATGTCAGGGCCACTTCCTCTTTCCCTTTTTGATCAAACCTTAAAAAAAAAACAAAACAAAAAACAACTGACTACTTTGTCAAAATCTGATCATACTGTCCCAACCACATAAACTGTTAGGATATTATATTTTATTTAAAGCAGCAGGGAACACCAAAAAAGTCAAGGATTATTTGAAACTCAAAGGTGAAGTAAAGAGTTTCAATTATTCTTATTTGTTTGCTCACTTTTTGGGGGGTGGAAGGATGGAGAAGAAGCATGAATAAGATGTGAATGGGTTTTGCAATTCTATTTTAAACATTCTTTTTTTTTTTTTTAAAGGCACATGGGCTGTAGTGTGGTAACATACACCTGAGGCGGTGGGCTCCTATATTTCCGAATCATATACAGAGTTATAAACCAATGTTAATGTAGTAAAAAATATATATAATAAAGAAAATAAAAAGAACACATCTACTAAAGTCAAGTTTTAGAATGCAATTAAGTTTTATACTTCTGTGAAATTTATAGATTACAGTAAAAGATACTTAAACTTGAAACTAAATGTTCCACAATTAGGAAATTTTATAAACTCTAAATCAAGTCAGATGCTCAACTCATGTAAAATTCCATTTTGTCGAGGGCTGCCTTTTCCTTGTTTTATATAGAGTACCTGTCTATCTTTGGCTATTGTCTCCAATGACTAAGAAAGCCTTAAACAACAAGATATTGAATGATGAAAAGTCACATAGAGAGAAGCCATGGAAAATGGGGGATAATTTTTGGCATGCCAGCAGATGAGTTCCCACAGCTTAATGTGTCCACCGGTGTGATCCTGGCTTAAAGTACATCAAGCAGAAATGCCACCTAATGTGATCCTCATCAGTCCACAGAATGTTGAGAAATGACAAATCTTAATTGTCTCAATAAAATAGAAGAAAATAAAATAAAATGAAAAGCCTTAGGCAAAACATATCCTTGTGGGTATCAAAAGTTTGAAATCATTGTTAATTATTTTTCAACTAATTTGAAAACTAAAATCCATTCAATGTTTGTAAATCAGACAAAAAAGAAATATTTGCCTTGAAAAAAATTTTATGACAACTTTCATCCTGGAACTCAAATGAGTCTTAGTGGGGAGTTGATCAAGATGGAACAGAAAGGACCTTTGAGTTCAGTTGTGATTACAAACTCACTTGAGGGAGACTTGTGCTAGACATTAGTTGAGTTTCTATTTCCTTCATTTGTAAACAGTTGATGTGCTCACTATAATATTTTGCCTAATTTCTAGGACATAGAGAAATTCAAAGATACTATAAATGATTTAGAGATGTATCTTAAAGATATGTAAATTGTTAGTAGATGGAGATCGTGAAAATACTTGATGAAATGATTAGAAACCAATTACACCCTTGGAAAGATATCTTGGGTTCAAGTAACAGCTTGTCCTTTACTCTTTTACCTTGGTGAGATCATATTGTATCCCAATGTCTCTATAAACATGGCTAATAGACAAGAAAACTTCTGTGGAAATCAAGTATAAATATGGAAATGAGGGTTTTTTTTTTTTTGCAAGGCAACTTAATAGCATTTATTGCTTGCTATAAAAGCAAACTAGTTAAGCCTTCAAGTAGGAAGCATAAACTTGTCAAATTTAAGTATGAAGATCTAAGCTTTAGTTCCTGTACAATTTGGATAAAAAGCGGTGGTTCTGTGGGTGGAAAGAGATTTTGTGACTCTAACCTGATTTTTGGTTCATTCTTTTTTCCTGCTATAGTTCTACACCTCCTGGAATATCAGCATGTTCCTTTCTGCTTAAGACAAATCTGCTTTGTTTTCTTTTTTAACCAAAGCAGTGATGATGGAAGAATTAACTACCCTCCCCACCCCAAACCCCCAGTTAGAAAGACACATGTTTTGAACTCCTAGAACTTAGTCACTGCACTTTCTTGGTAAATAGATTTCCTTCTGAGTCATGCTATTCCTGCTGAGCACTACTATATTTGTACAGAGATCTTAAAGACTTGATAAGGGCAGGGTAATAAATGGAAAAGTTTGGAGTCCAGATCCCACAAATAAAAAAATTATAATTCAAAGGAATCTCCAATCCAACCCTTGCATAAGGTCAATCTATGCCATTTATATTTTGTCAGGGAGCTGAGGGTTCAATAAATCAGAGGTTCATTTACTGGGTGAACCCAAAACCTCTGTATCTGCCATCTTTATAGCTTATTTCATAGAGAGCTACATCACTTTGCCCTTTAACCTGGTTGCAGTGAAGGAAGTTGCTGGACATTGTTTCATTTGGGGCATTTCCTGCATTGATAACAATGGCTATTTCATATACAGTTTAATCATTTGATGCACCGAACACTCTATTTTTCTTGTTCTTCTATCTTTAGATATTTGTGTTTATTTTATTTATTTATTTTAAATCATATATTTTTAAAGTTTTATTTATTTATACATACAAGAGTTGGGTAGAGGCCAGAGATGCAGGGGGTGAGAGGATTCACCAGAGACAGGGGGGAACAGAACAGGCAGATTGACCAAATTACACTGCTGAGGGGAGCAGTGGGTGAGTCAGGAAAGGTCTGCTGCACCATGTGGGTTGCTCCCTGGCTGGCCGGGGATCAAACTGGTCCTGCAGAGGCTGCAGATTGCTTCATAGAGCGGTGCTTAACCCCTTGAGCCACCAGGGAGGCCCTTAAATCATATTTTTTGAGGTAAAGTTCATTTACATCTTTGGGAGGTGATAGGCTCAAACCCCCACAAATGCATTATTTTTATACCATGCTCAACACCGGTGCCTCAATTATCCTCCACCATGCTCCATTGGGTCCCCCCATCCCTCACTCTCACCCCACCACTGCTTGTTCTTTTTTTTAAACCAATTCTGATCCCCAGTAATGGGAGAGATTTCAAATGCTAAGAGAGATGATACAGACTTTGGAAGACATCTCTTGAGGAGAGATAAAGCAAAAAGAATAAGGCTGAAGTGGAAATTTTATAAATTGGCTAATTGACTGACTTAGGCAGATAAATGAAATCTATATTACAACAACTTGATAGTGTTACGTAGATGCTACCTTCCCCTCTATTATATGCCAGGGAGCAATTTGGTCTGAATGGCCTGACATATGTTAATCCTAGCTTGGCTGCACTACACAGCCGGGTCTGGAATTTAGACAGAGAGTGAATGCTTCTACTGTACAGGAACATCACTGAACTAGAGGATTATGATTTATATTTATTTGCTATGGCAAATATTCTATAAAAGTAACAGATGGCACATTAGTTTGTATTTAAAGAAGGTAGCTTCCTCCTTTGAAATAGAAGATCTGTGAAACTGGAGTAACTTGCAATTGAACCACCACAGCGAAATTCTAACTCCTGTTTTCAATATCAATGCAGAACTTATTATTTTAATAGATTTTTAATGAACTTTATAAAAACATTTAAAAATAGAAACTAAAATAATGCACTTAATTTTATTTCCCTAAGATTTGACTTATTAGGCAAGAAGAAGTCTAGTTTTATCTTTACGAGAATCTTAAAATAATATTTTAGTGCTTACAACATTCTAGGCACCACATAAAAATATGTAAAAGGAATAATATCTTCTCTCCCAAGAAACTTAGATTAGGAAGGGAAACAGGAAATAAAAAGAGTAATTCTCTATTTTGTAGTTTTCTTTGTTTCCCAAGAGTCATTTATGTCTAAAGAAAAATCAAGCAAATAAGGAAATGGTAACAACAAAAACACATCTTTTCCTGAAAGTAATTAAAAGCTTAAGAATAGATGCTCAGAGACATCATTCATAATATTCTGTAATTCCTGTGAAGGGTGAAAAACAAGATTGCAATATTCCATTTTTCTGTTGCTAAATATGCTACGATAGCAGAGCTATAATTTTGGGACAGAAATGTGAAAGAATCAGTTGAGTCATAAGATGTTATTAAACATTACCCACAAAGATGAATAAGTAAATGGGGAAACTCATAGAATACCATTAACCAACTTGAAACAACTATCAACAAATCTTATGCAGTGTCCCTGCCCCTGTGTGTCCTGAAGACCATCATGCGGGCCCTTGCTCGTGGCAGCCAGCTTTCTCCTGTCTCTGCACTTAGAGCTTCTGGTCAGAGAGGACACCTGGCACATTCTAGAGTGCCTGAACAAAAGGCTCAAACAATCCATGTGTCCTTGATGAAATACACCTTATAGCCAATTAAAACACTTTCTAATCTCCTACAATGTAAAATATCCTGATTTCTAGATGTCCACAATTTAAGAAAATAGCACATGTTGACCAGCAGGTCCCCTTTCATAATCCAAGTACACTAGAGGCTGTGGCTAGTGGGCTAATAGTTGGTGACAGGCTGTCAGGTAAGCTCCCTCCATTTATCAGGCTGGGGTGTGCTGGAGGACACCCCAATACCTGATTTTAACTAGTCTTTTTGTATGGTGTGCTTCTCTTTGTATGGTTCACAAATGAGTCACTGAGCTGCTATATCACTAACGCTTTCATGGTATTTAAACTCAGAATAAAGCAACAGGGAGAAATGCTTAATTTATTCACTGAAAGCTTACAGGAAGCAGAATAATTTAATCTGGTGGGTTTTTTTTTTTTTTTCCAATTTAAGGAAGAATTGTCCTGAACAAGACTATCTGTAAAGAGACTGAACTGTAAGAATGGGGTTTGGTTTGATACATGTCCAAAAGGAAGCCCATTTTGGAGTCACATGCGGGTATGAAATGGGTCTGGATATTTAATATCATGCTGATCCTTTGCTCTGGCCTTCTGAAGCATGAGGTGGCCACTTCTTCCTCGAAGCTCCTGTGACACTACTGAAGGAGGAAGTAAGGAAACAGTATAGGCAGTCAGTTAGGAACAGGGTGCCCCAAGAATGCAAGACTATATATCAGTCTGATTGGAGAACAATCACAGGCCAGGAAGCTACTCCTTCCCCCACCCCAGTGAACACTGGAATGTCCAGAATACCAAAACAGTAACACAACACTAAAGCAATGGGCCAAAGTTAGTTTCAGAAAGGTAGGTCAGGTAATGTGGGCAAACTCAGTGGACCTTGGTAGGCTAGGAGATTCCCATGGGCCCAGTCAATGGGGATCATCAAGAGATACAATGTGGACACCACCCAATGGCCACTTCTTGCCCACTATACCCGTGTAAGCACCTATTTCTCATCACTTCCTGGGCTATCCACTTGGGACCTCTCTCCACTTGGAGAGCTTTCCTGTCCTTCCTCTTGTCTATCAATTGGCTACCCATTTGGGACCCTCCTCCACTTAGAGAACTTTTCTGTCATCTTCCTATCTATCAATAAATCTCTTGCATTTCTGTAACTTTGATCTCAACATTGAATTCTTTTTTCACTGAAGGCAAGAACTGAGAAAGAGCCTACCTGGGGCTCTCGGGCTCTGGACTTGCTCCCTCAAACCCTGATTCACTATGAGGTAACTTTATCAATGTCCTGTGTTCCCATCATCAGCTGAAAGTTTTTAAATTTTCTTTTATTAATTTGTTTGTTATTTCATTTACTTTTCTGACATTTCTGCATGGCTATCTGTGTGCCCATTGTATACCAGGCACCTGAATGAAGGCACTGAGGACACAGATAAAATGGATGGCACATTCTCTGAAGAGGTCTACAGTACACAGATGAACTTGAAGCCCAATGAGAACACAAAAGCAATGAGCTCCCATGACCCTGGAGGTGCAAGGGGAGGATTTGCTCTATTGAAGACTGACCTTGCAACATAAGAGGTACATGAATGGACCAACACATGCAAAATCAAGGCAGGAAGAAACAGTATGAGCTGCCATGGTCTCCATTAAGTCTAGAATTGCTGAAGCATAAATGGGGAGAGTGTTACCCAGCAATTATAAAGTCCAGCACACTAAATATCCTGTACCATATTAAGAAATCCAGACATGATTGTGCAGCATTTAGGAAAGCAGAGAAAAATCCTGAAATTAGGAGTGCATAGTCAGATTTGCTTTTAGAAAAATCAGATCTGGTGGCAAGAGAGAAAACTCTGTGTGTGTGTGTGTGTGTGTGTGTGTGTGTGTGTGTGACTGAGTGTGGGGAGCAGGAAGGAGAACAAATCAAAATGCAGGATGACCAATCAGAGGTGTGTTCATGGTTCAGTGACATACCTTTTCATTCTGCCAATCCATCTTGCATTTGAATTATATTTGTTCAGTGCCCACATTCTATGAGGATTTCTGCATATATTTTTTAAATTTAATGCATATTTTAAGTCTATAAGGTGAGGACTATCCTTACTATTAATTTTTTTTACGACACCCATTTTGGATGTGGAAAAACTGAGGCTCAGAGAAATGGAGGCTCTACGCAGTCAGACATAATCTCACAGATAAATCATCTGCCTAAGGATACACACACATCTTAAGTGCTGGCTTTAAGATTCACACTCAGTCTTGTACCCAAGTTTTTTATACCATACCTGTGATATTTGCTGACATAAGAGGCAGTATACTTTGCCACAAAGGAGAACAGAGTAGGAATCATGACATCTAGATTTAAATGTTGCTTTATACCTCTCTTGCTTTGTCACCTTAACAAAGTCACTTAATTTCTATGCCTTTCTTACTATATCTATAAAATGTTCACATGTTTTTTTCAAGGTCTAGTTCTAAGTAAATTTAATGACATATGTTTAGAATGATGAGTATTCTAGCAAATTTGGTAGAGTGGGATGGAGTCAAAGTCAAAGAGGGACAGAATTCACTCAAGGAGTGAGGGTGGTGGAGGTGGGGGTGAAACTTAAAAAATGTCAAATTTGTAAAATATAAACATATGAAGAAAATATTGACAGTTCTTAAAATGGGTCCCTTAACAAAAGGAGAAAAAAAAACACATTTCAAATAAATTCCAAGTTTGTGGAAAAAGGTGACTATCTGGTGACCATTTCGGCAGTTAAGTCAATGAGGGATGCACCTGTTAAAGAAGGAAGACTTGAGGGTATTTCTTGGACACTGCAGTTTCAAGTAATCTACTGACAAATATATCTAAATGGCATTCTCCCAACTAATTTCCTGGGTAAGTTAAAAAAATTACAATGCCATAAAGTCTTAGAGAAAAAAGCGTTAAAAAGTGGAACTTTGATGTGGAAATGAATTTCCTGAAGGAATAAACACATAATGTGAAGATCAGAGAATTCTGACCCTCAGGGGAGAGTTTTATTATCAAATAACACGCAGTAAACAGCTTTCATCTCAACCCCTCTTGGGGCTGGGTCACCAACATTGCTAACTGTGCAAATGTCTAAATGAAGTCATCCATGCAACGACATACCTCAGGAGAGACTTCTGTAATTCCGAATTGGGATAAACTTTGATGCAAAACATTGAAGTTAAGTGAACGCAACACCTCCTCAGCCGGCAGGGCATCAGGAATGCCTGCTTTTCGGTTGATGGGAGACACAAATAGCTCGATGCTGTTCTTCTTTTCCTAGTCAGAGCATATCATATCATTTGTATCTGTTAATAGACGCTTTACACAATTTGGGAAATGTTTTTACTTTTGTTCTGCAAATATTAAATGAAGTCAGAATCCTACAACCCCATAGGGCATTTTCCTGACCACACTTATTATTCTCGTGTACACTTAATCCTAGCAGTCCAAAACCTGATATCTTCAAATGGCATTTTTTCAGGTAATGGACACCTCAATATTTGAAATTTTATATTTAGTGATGCTAGTTTATTTTATATTCCATATTGTAACTGATGAAGTATATTATTTAGATGTTTCCTGAGTAGCTATGTTTAAAGAAACATTTCACATTAAGTAAATTCAGTAAAACTTGATGTTATACTATAATTATTAGACATCATTGCTCCATATTTTTTTATAAGCTCTACTAATGTGAATGTGAGACTAACTATGGTTAGATGAGCTTTGAATTTGCTTCCTTGATTCTGTTCTGAACCTTAAATATGTCATACTTCAAAAGTCTATCTTTTGGCAGAAAGACATATGTTGTATAGTAATATGATACTTTCCTATTATTAATTTATTCACTGAATTGGAGCCAGGGGATTTCTTGCCATAAGTAGTTGAAAACAAAAAAATCAAATAGCACACAAAAATGATATTGTCATTCACAGATCTTTTTTATAGCTTATACAATGCACTTAGAGAAAGGAGTTATTGTTAATATTTCCTTTTTAATACACAGAGTTCTCTCTTGCTAGAAAATTTTCTTTCAATACAATTTATCAGAAGTTCAGTCAGGTATAAAATGGAGTATCATTGTACTCCCAGCCACCCAGAAAAAATGCTTCCGTATATGCAGGGAACACCAGACAATGACTAAGAATAGCATGCTACTAATGGGAGATGTATTTATAATAACCAAAATAGTTTCTGATTAATGACCACAGGAGTAGAAACAGAATAGTTGTTTTGTGTCTGTCAGGCACCTCTGTACATTGTCTGTTATCTCATTTAATGCTCAAAACACCCTCAGGGCAGAGGCATTCTGGTTATCTCCATTTTGCAAATGAAGAAACAAAGTGTCTTGCTCAAGGTTACATAGCTGGGATGTGGCTAAGCTGGAAAGTGAGTTTGCTTCTGTCTATCTCCAAGGCACACACTCTTAATCACCTCGCTTTGCTGCCACAGGTATTAGAGCTCCACTTATTATAAGTGACCTTAGAAACAGATGTGTATAAATGCTACTAACATTCTTCAAAGATATGCACATCTCCCCTGGGACTGGCAAATCCCTCTCTTATCCCTGCAAAATGCTATTATGTACATTAAATTTATACACAAAAAAGATATCCACATATATATAAAATAAGGTCTAGGTCTAACACATCTGTAATATCTAAGTATTCTCACTTGAGTAATGTAGTAATGTAACTGGATATAAATAATCTATTTTACTCTTTCAAGATATTGGGGAATCTATCTTTCCTTTTCTATGGTACTGAGTTTAAAACTGCTTCTTAATAAAGCTTATTTAGTCCTGGAAATATTTGACTCCTGGAATAAAACTTATTTTGGGGAATGATATAACTTACTAACCTACCACATGCAGAAAAATGAAAGAAACAAATCTCTAAACCAAAATATAAAGCAATTTTTCTCCATAGCTGGAAATGCAGCTGTTGAAGCAGTGGAAAGCTGTGCTCAAGCAGGAGCAGAAGCATTTAAGGCAAGAAAATGTGCAATCTTTGCTTGAGTTCCCATTGCATTGGAAATTAAGAACAATTTAAAACTAAGATAATTCCAAAGTCTTTTTCACAGGAACCCGAGGTAATTAGCTTTTTACAAAGACAAAATCATCTGATTTGAATTTGCCTTTCTTTACTTTAGCTCACACCCACCTTCAAGTGGAGGTGGGAACATACCATTGGGTGACATCAAGATTCCCAAACACTGAGGAAAGGCGGGAAAGAGAGGATGTGGGTGATTGATAGACGGGCCTCAAGTGGACCCTCTACAATAGATCCTTTGGGTTTACCTCATCTTCACCCCACACATCCATCTAGTTTTCTCTAGGCTTGTCAGGACTGTCTACTCTTATTTTCCATTTGGATTGCTGTCCAAGGATTAATGTTCATTTCTGTTATTTTCTTAAAATCTTCTGCCTTGGACATTCAGAATCCGTCATCCTACTGATTTGGTTTTATTGGGTTTTAATAAATACCGTCTGGAGGCAGTGCCTTAACTGATCCAGAGGGTTTTTCTTTTAGGCAAAATATTTTGGGAATACTGTTAGGTTAGTGAGAAAAGTATTTTAGACCCCTCTGTCCATACCTACCAGCATAGCTAGATTGAACAATGAGAGGGTTGACAAACTTTTTCTGTGAAAGTCCAGGTAACAAATATTTCAGCCTTCAGGAGAGCTAAACATCTGTTGCACCCCTCAACTCTGTAGTTCTAGCATGAAATCAACAATGGACAATAGGTAAGCAAGTGGGTGTGGCTTATTGTGATAAAACTTTCTTTACAAAAACAAGTGGCATGCCAACTTCGGCTCATGGATCATAGAACTACCGCATGGGTGTTCTTTATTATTGCTCTATTATTGAGCCCTTCAATCAAGATCAAAGTTTGTACTCTGGGAATGTGACATGTAGGCATCTTACAATGAGGCGATTGATGTGCACTTGCTGGGGTAAGAGTCCTAAAGCTGCTGCCACTCCTTGGCGGAATATCTGAAGCAAAGTTATATTCAGCTTATTTACTTCCATTTGCAGTGTCTGAAAAATAAAAGAAAAAAAGTTCAAATTATGGTAAGTCTTTGGGTTAGGGCATTCAACTCCTGACTGACGACTGGTCACTACAATGGTAACTTTGATAACTTTACTCTCATGGTATTTTATCGCATTTTTAATGGAGATACAATCATAGGGACATTTTATGTGAGCTTTTAAATGGTGTCAGTTAAAAAGAAGGCACATTGCATAATAATACAGTCTGTCTAGCTTTAATCAATAACTCAAACAAAAGAACAATTGATAAAGAATTTCATTGAAATGTTTGCTGGCTTATTTTGCTCTAGCTCAAATCTAGATCACAGAATAGAATATGCTGTCAAGTGTATTTCAATAATCCAATCTGAAGGGCATCTATAGTTTGCATTCACATCCAGTCATAGAAAAAGACACTATGTAAGTTTTGTAGTGCCAGACTTGGCAGTTGTTTTTTTTTTTAATAATGATTTGCTCCCAGTGAAAAACAAAAGAAAGATGTGCAAAAATATAGCATTAATTTAAGTCATTGGTGTCATTATTCCATTTAACCCATAGACTAGTTAAAACCCAAGTATTTTCAAAAATGCACCTTCATCATTTGAGATAGATACTTTGCAAGGTGGGGAAACCAAACCTTTATATGTTTCTTACATTTTTATAATGCTTTAGTCACTAACTTGACCATAGTAGGTTATCAATAACAATTGAATGTCAGCAATATCATCTGTTTCATCAAATAAGACACACTTCTGTGGATATACTTCTTTGATAAAGAGGTTGACTTACAAGTGTAATCTATACTAGTGTAAGAACTCTCGCAGGTCTTTCTCCCTGTTTGCTCCAAAAGGAAAATAATACTGCTTCAAGAATTTATAGACTTTAGACTTTTTGTAATACATAAAGTTGTTATGAAATAAATGACTGATGATTCAACCAAATGGTCAATGTTACAGGAATCAGAGGAAGCTAGAGAGGTCAACAGAGGTTTAATGGTTGCCAGTCAAATTGGCCAACCCAGATGAAGCTCCCAACAGCTTTTACATTTTCAGATCTTTTAATATTTTCATGTGGGTAGAAGTCAGTAAGGCTTGGTTACCATAGGACCTGAAACTATACTTCTTGTATAACAAAAACACACACACACACACACACACACACAAAAAAAAAAAAAAAAAAAAAAACAGAGAAAGAAATAAGATCTAGAGAAAGGCAGAACTCTTGAAAATCTCTACCTAACAGTACAACAATAAAGTATAACCTGTTTGTGGAGGGGAAAAGGAGAATGATGTTCAGGGTAGGAAGAAAACCTATATCAACATTGTCCCTAATTCATTTTTAATTAAATAAAAATCATCTAATGGCACACAACTTTTTGCTATCCTTTCCTAATGTCTAATAGTGATTTAGATATATAATAACATAACATACTACAGAAAGTAAGATTTGAGCTCAACCCTGAAGGATGAGAATTTGAAAATGAAGTGATGACAAAAACAATATACTTTTGAAAATTCTCTATGTCTCCACTAAAAAAACCCAAGAGGTTAGGAAAACTCAGTCCACCTGGTGGCTCTGAGGAAGAGAGGCCTTTCACCCAGCAGCTAGCTTTCAGTTCTGCAAGGCTGTGCAGCTGCTGGTGGCTGTGGACATTGTATTGGAGCCTGTTTATTCCCCTTCATTTGTAAGACCAAAGATAGGATTCTTGAGGGGGTATTGGAAACCCTGGTGAGGAGCCATTGGTTCAGTGACTGTTTATCAGGCAGGGTGAGCAGGCAGGCACTCTCTCTGATCCCTAGAGGCAGGTTTGAAGCCAACAGACTGCACTGGGAACCAAGAGCCAGGGGGTTAAGTACACGCCTGAGAACTCAGTCCCCAGAGCTGTGATTAACCCAAGGCCCGTCACTGTGGAAACAGTATTAAAGTCTATGTTCCTCAGATTGAAATGGTACATGGAGTGGAATGGGAACTCAAGATGAAAAATCACTCAAAAAGGCAATTTCGCAAGAAGATAAAAACTGTGCTTTTGAAACAGAAATTTAGACTACCTAACTAAAGCAAACAAGTGAGTTGAAGTGATTAGTTTAAATGGCCATCATCTAGTTCATTGCCTCAAAATTTGGATAATTTGCTTCAGTTCTCCGCTGGCCTGTGAAAAGCTGGGTTGATTCCCAGTGCTTGCATAATTCCTGACTATATATCATAAAATGGCAATGTTGAAATGCATGACAAACAGACAAATTTGTATTTGAGGATCTAATATGTGTCACACATTACATATAAGTGCAATTTGAGAAAAAGAAAAGATTCTAGACAATATGAGAATTTTATTTCAGAGGAAATAAAAGCCTATAACTCCCTGCAGTTTGAGGATTAGGCTACCTCCTTCCTTCTTGATAGATGCTCAAAACTCAGCTCCTTCTCATCCTATCATGTGAAATCATAGCAACTCTGATAGAACATGCATTTCCATGGCAATAACAACAGTGTCACACGTAAAGTTGCCATACAACTGAGCTAGATATATTTTAATTTCAATTTAAACCCATTTGGTTATTTCTATCATTTAAGCCTTTAATTTCAAAGACATCAAAATGCTTTTTCCAAATACAAGTAGCAAGCTACTTCACAGTAGTAAGTAATGCAATGCAGATAGAGCAACCAAGAACAAGTATTTACTGAAATTATAAATACATAAATATACAGAAAAAAATTAAACATTAAAAAATTCAAAGAGTTCAAATTCCATCTGTTCTTAAATGTATTGGGTCTCTGTCTTGTTAAAGATTCCTCTGCCAATTCTTTTTACCTGGGGCCTACGTGACTTCCTCCACTGCAAAGGAAGTACCACGAAGTCCTAAGACTTTCTTTGGTCACTAAACTTTCCTCAAAAGAAGTCAAAGCCTATGTGCATTATGCCTATGAGATATAAGTCAATCCGACAAAACAGATTAAAATGTAGCATTGAAATATAGGCACAAGCATTAAGTTTAAACTGTTAAGTATTGATTGACTTTCAGCTATTTATTTTTAAAGGATGGTTGAATTATTTTTGCCTGGGAGGTAGCAGATTTCTAAATCTTTCTCTCTTCTTGATGTCATTAGGTATCTCCTCATCATGGTCATCCCCATAGGAGTCAGGAGCACAGATGGCCCCAATAGGAAAAGGAAGATCAAATGGCCATCTCTAGACAGATGTCCTCAAAGTCCCCGAGGGAAGTCCAGTCTGAATTCCCAACAGCCACAAAAGAACTCAGCCTCCTTTAGAATAAAGCCTATCAGGAGGAATCTACTCACCTGTAAGGGAATGTCCCCTCAATGCTACTCTGGTTCTCTTAACTTATTCCTGGTAAAGAGTCTCCCCTTTTGGGCCAGAGATTGGATTAACAAGTGAACCCAGGAATGAAGAAGAAGTTTCTCTTTCATGTCTTTGAACAGAATACAAATCGCTGACCTATGGGAGATCTTTGGCATTCATTTTAAAATCTATTCTTTTTCAATGAGTTCTGCTTTGTTTTCTCTTAAAATTCTCTGATGACTTTCTATAGTATTTATTTATTTATTTATTTTAAAAGATTTATGCATGTGTGCAAGAACTGGGTCACATTGTATAATAATGTAGAGGGTGAGAGGATTCACCAGAGACAGAGTGGGGAACAGAAAAGGCCGACTGACTGAAATGCACTGCTGAGGGGAGCAGCGGGCAAGTCAGGAGGGATCTGCTGAGCCATGTGGGTAGCTCCCTGGCCAGGGATCGAACTTGTGCTGCAGTGGCTGTGGATAGCTTCATAGGTTGAATCTTAACCCCTGTGCCACCAAGGAGGTCCAACTTTCTAGCATATTTAGAATTTAATTCAACTCCATAAGCTTCCAAAGCCCTACTTTGTCTGACTCATTACTTCAGAACTTTACCCAGTACCCTTTTCTCAAGCCACTTGGTCTTTTTTTCAGATCTTTAAACATGCCTTGTTCATTTTACCTCATAGCCTTGGCATTTGCCAGGCCTTTCAGTTCTCAGTTTAAAAACCACCTCTCCAGAGAGGACTACCCCCCAGCCACTCGCTACTCTCTTTTTCTCACAACATCTATCACGTTCTGACTGTTAATTATTTATTTGCTTGTTGTATATCTCCCTTCACTAAGATGTGGATTCCATTGGTGTGTGACCTTGTTAGGCTGGTTTGCTGTTTTAGCCCCAGCTCTGGAGCTGTGTCTGGCACATAGGTATTTAATAAATCTTTGTAAAATGAAGGACTACATGAATCATCACAGTCACCATGTGTGTAGTAACTAGATGGAAGAATCTGGGCTCCCTGGTAGATGTAGAAAGGGTTACAAAATCAGGACTCTGATCTTGAGAAAGTTATATTTGGTTAGAGAGTAAAAGCGTTATTTGGCTAAAGAGTTCACCTGAATTGCTCAGTTATTCCAAAACACCCAGAAACAGTTTAACACAATTTATTTTTGACTTGTAATTAATATGTCTTGAGAGTTTGACGAGTACACCATTTATCATGGGGAAACAATAGAAGATTTTCTCATCAACTTTTTGAAACCTGCTTCTATTAGACAAAAACAATGCAATTATTCTAAGCATGCTGTATTGGTTATAAATGAACTCAGTGTTAGTTCTTGTGATTAATTTGATAGTTTTTTTTTTTAAGATTTATTTATTCATGCATACAAGAACTGGGGGTACAGGCCAGATGTGTGGGAGGGTGAGAGGATTCATCAGAGACAGAGCAGGGAACAGAACAGGCAGACTGACAAGGGCGAGACAGGAGAGGTCTGCTACGCCATGTGGGATTCTTGCCGGCCGGCCTGGATCTAACCGACGCTGCAGAGGCTGCGGACAGCTTCACAGTGCTGCGCTCAACCACCTGCACCACTAGGGGAAGCCCCATAATTTGATAGTTTTTTTTAAAGATTTATTTATTTATGCACACAAGCCTGGGTACAGGCCAGAGGTGCGGGGGTGTGTGTGTGAGAGGACTCACCAGAGACAGAGT